TTGAGAGTGATTCGCGCTTTGATTGTTTCTGAACCATCGTATACGTTTTATTTTCGGAGTATAACAAATGCAGATTGTCGTAAACGTGAGAAGTGAATGCAAATTGACGTGTAAGACATCCATACGAGCAAAAGAAAATCCTCATCATCGTGAGGGCGAGAGTCAAGTGACAAACTTAGAAACCCGTATTATCGCGGGGTCGGCGCTCAAGCGACAGACTCAGAAGCCCACGTTTTCACGGGACCAGTGCTCAATGTGTTAACTTTTGTCAGTAAGTGTATATGCGCCGGCTGTTGCGGCCCTAGGGCCGCAAGTCCCAAGTTAAGTGGTGGACTGTTTTATGTCCTTAGTACCAGCGTCGCTATGAACGAAAATCGCGTTTAACACGTTAAACGCCACGTTGGTTTTACGTGCCCTTCCGTTCACGCCACAGTTAGCCCTCATGCAGGCCCTTCCGGGCCATACAAGGGAAAGTCTGGCAGCGGTCCCTAAGGCCTGACGTGGCGTTTATCGCGTTAACACGTTAAGTGTGCCCGTTTTGCTTGCCATTCCATTCAAGCCAAGACTCGGCTATCAAATGGGCTACCGGTGGCGGGCAAAGTGTTTGTAAAACTCGGAGATACTGTACCAATTGTTATAACAGAAATTCCCAAACGTTAGCTCCAAAGATGGCGAAGAATTTAACACCAAAAGTTAGCACCTTTTGGTCTTAGTCTAGGCCCGAACGGAAAGTCTAGCGTGGCACTTAACCCTTTCGCTTCGGCAGTTCAGTCCGCCGAAGTATCGTCACTGAACGGAAGCGGGCGCCAGAAATATGCACAGTGCGTGTGATTTTTGTATATTTCTGTACGTTTTCCTAAGTCTTAAATACCAACTGTGCTGAATAAAACAATCGTATACAGATTGCATTTGGATACGCATCATATGGATGACGGATATATGTGGTGCCCGTACCCAGGAGTCATCGCGTGGACGCCGCCTATATGCGGCTCTCAAAGCGAAAGAATTAATCCTTTGCGGTCGATATCCCCACAGCGGAGACATTCGCGAGTCGAAAAATACAGAAAACTACAGAAAATTAGATAAATTAAAAATTTTGAATTTTTACGTATTATTAGTAGTAATAATTAGTTTCAACAAATTCTGTGCGTTTTAACCCTTTGCACTCGAGAGGTGACTCTCAGTCACCGTTTGTTTTAATGCTATAACTTAAATATTGAACGATGATATTTATATATTAAGAACATTTAAATAAAATTATTCTATTCGTTCGTTTCTCAAGCAAATTCACGATTAACTTCTTTTAATTTTAGCATAAAGAGTATCAGTGAACTTATAAAAATCTAAGAACAACTTCGAATTGCATCTTCGCAACGAAGAAATCTTCGAGTCCAAAGGGTTAATATCTATATATTGATTTTAAACGCTGTACAGAAAAGTAACTGCGAAACGCTAAATTTGCTCTGCTGAAATCTGTCGGCCGCAAAGGGTTAACGTGTTAAGCAGAAACGAGCGCTGGTAGTTTTGAATGGCTATCGCGACAGCTGCTCGACCCCATGGCACGGTTTACTGAAAACCGCTCTGTCCGCAAAGGGTTAATTTTGAATTCGTACGAAGATCATGCGAAATATCTCGTGGTTGCTTACACAAGTGACAAGATAAAACGGTGCTGCTGGAAAGTGTACTGCCAGATAGAGATACGACAACAATAAATGGGAATGAAAAATGAATATGTATAATAATGCGATGGTGTGACAATAACGATAAAGCGAAAGACTAGGAAAAGACAGTCGCAACGATATATACAAAAGACACGATATACCGAGATTGAAGTAGTTAAAATGCAATCAGGGAGAAGGTTCTCCAAAAAGATAGTCAAACTACGTCACCCTTTGTACATCGAGAGTAATTGGACAATATTAGAAAACACTGAGAGTTTTGCATACATGAAATGGCTTTTCACAAGTGCTGAACAACACCTTGGAAAAATACACACCGATAACAGGATTTGTTAAAAACTGAAATAAGTCAAGAGATTCGTATTCGCAAACGTATGCAAGGAAACTACCAAGTTATTTCGAGGACTTACTGAACACTATGCGGGATAGGCCTTGTTGGAACAAGTCGAGCCAGATCTCCCCTGAAAATACCGCACCGATAAGACCTATTTTTCATCCCCCATGTTCGTTAAAATTTCACCATATTTATAAAACCTCCTCTTTTTAACCGTGACTTTTATTTGAAAATCTGGAATGCATTGAATTTACCAAATCGATTAGGTTCACGTCTCTGCAGAATATGTTTATCCGTCTCTCAATTATGTTACTAAGACAGCAGTGTGCAAGCAGTTTCGAAAACAGTATAAAGACACCGGTTTTACTTAAGATTTTACTGGTACGTTCTTTGTTAGAGACTATGGGTTTTCAATTTTAATCGCGTTACATAAATTTATATCCATATGTACATTTACTTTGATTGATTTCTCTCTGCGAAACAAAGAAGTTAATTAAAGGACGATTTTAAGTAACAGCAAGATATTTCGCTCTCGCATGCTTATTATACGTACATTCATTCATACATACATACATACATATACACATACATATATTATTTAAATATATGATATTGTGGGATGCCAAATATAGGTTTTATTTTGTCTTCGGTTTACAGAAATAACGTGTATGTGTTCCTTCTTTTATTATATAAAAGAATATTATAAAACACAAATTAAAATTATCTTTAAAATTCAAATTACCACGCAACAACAAATTCTGAAATAAATTGCGAATTCATGAAATCACGCCGTTTATCATGAATATCAAAATTGAATGTTAGATAATATATGTAATGGAAAAGGATAATAAAAATAATAAAATAATAAAATAATAATAAAAATAATAAAATAATATAGGATGCCAAAAATAGGTTTTATTTCGTCTTCGGTTTACAGAAATAACGTATATGTGTTCCTTCTTTTATTATATAAAAGAATATTATAAAAAAAAATTAAAATTATCTTCAAAATTCAAATTAGCACGCAACCACAAATTCTGAAATAACTTGCGAATTCATAAAATCACGCCGTTTATGAATATTACTATTTAATCAACAATACTACTTATATTATCGCAGGATGCCGAAAACAGATTTTATTTTGTCTTCGATTTACAGAAATAACGTGTACGTGGTTCCTTCTTTTATCGAAGGAATATCGGGTCTGCGCGAACGGTTTGAGACCCCGAAAACGACAGAACAAAATGAACAGAATGAAACGAACACCAAACGCGGAAACTGATTAAACGCGAGAAAATAATATCGAAATAACGCAACTTTAACACACGGAAAACACGCTTCTATTCGTCTCTCTCCGACACCGAACGACTCACGTCCGCGCCGGTCACAAACTATTTTCACGAGGATTCTTCGAGGCTTCTCCACTCAGGACTCTGCCTGTGTCGTCGAGGGTCCTGTTTTATGCCCTTTGGAAAGCTCGACGACGTGCTTTTATCAATCGCTAATTGGTTGATCCGATTCAACCGATTCCCGATTTGGCTCCGTGAAAATTATGTCATCTTGCTGATTCACGATTTGTCTTCGTAAAAATTACATTAGGTTACCGATTCGCGATTTGTCTTCGTGAAAATTACATTAGTTTACCGATTCGCGATTTGTCTTCGTAAAAATTAAGCTACTTTGTCGATTCGCAATTTGCCATTGTGAAAATTATATCACTTTACCGATTTGCGATTTGTCCTCGTGAAAATTATGTCACAATGCCGATTCGTGATTTGTCCTCGTGAAAATTATGTCACATTGCCGATTCGCGATTTGCCTTCATGAAAATTACACCACTATTTCGATTCACGGTTTGCCGTCATGAAAATGACATCATTGTATCGATTCACGATTTGCTCTCGTAAAAATTAAGCCATCTTGCCAATTCGCGATTTGTGCTCGTGAAAATTACGCCACATTGCCGATTAGCGATTTGCCTTCGTGAAAATTACGCCACTATGTGGATTCACGATTTGCCATCGTGGAAATTGCACTATTTTTCGATTAGCGATTTATCCTCGTGAAAATTACATTACTTTACCGATTCGCGACTTATCTTCGTGCAAATTACATTATTTTACCAATTCGCGATTTGTCTTCGTGAAAATTACGCCATCTTGCCGATTCGCGATTTGTCTTCGTGCAAATTACATTATTTTACCAATTCGCGATTTGTCTTCGTGCAAATTACATTATTTTGCCAATTCGCGATTTGTCTTCGTGAAAATTACGCCATCGTGCCGATTCGCGATTTGTCTTCGTGCAAATTACATTATTTTACCAATTCGCGATGTCTTCGTGCAAATTATATTATTTTACCAATTCGCGATTTGTCTTCGTGAAAATTACATTATTTTACCAATTCGCGATTTGTCTTCGTGAGAATTACGCCATCTTGCCGATTCGCGATTTGTCTTCGTGCAAATTACATTATTTTGCCAGTTCGCGATTTGTCTTCGTGCAAATTACATTATTTTACTAATTCGCGATTTGTCTTCGTGAAAATTACGCTTCCGTTCATTTATGTTTCATCCCCCGTAAAGACCGCGCAACTCACCTAACCTATTTCTAAAAATAGCCTTCCATAACGGCACTAGTCGATTTCCGACTTTTCCCAAAATAACCCCCTGCGTCGGCATTGGCCGATTTCGATTTGTTTTTCCAAAAATAGCATCCCACAATACATCGATGGTAACAATGATACTCACAAAAGGTTTAAAATGAATACCCGATAACATTGGAATTGAATTTTCGAGCAACAATGGCGACGATTAATCGCCATAAATATCTCGGGGATTATTTGTTACGAAAGGAAGAAATTGCGAAATTAATCTAAGAAGAATGACCGTGTATAACGAACGTATAGACATGAACACAAAGGCGACGCAAAGTGTCTATACGCTGAGCGAGTATCATCGGTTTGAAGGAAATATCAAATCGTTTACCTATATGGAATGTCGGTGAGATTCGATTGACTGTGAGAATGCGGCACTGTAGGCATCGAAGTCGTATCTCGGACACCGCAAACGGCTAGCTCGTGAGCAGATCCAGAAAGACTTCGTTCGCTTTCCCTGCGTTTGCTACTACTTCCTCCGCTGCTTACAGCATGCTGTTGCAAAATGCTGGTCGTTGGAGTCGAAGTCGAAGTCGTAGTCGAAGTCGAAGTGGAAGAAATTTTCTTCTTCGCTTGTACGCCGAAGCTAAAAAACCTGCGAAACGCCATTGAAAATATAAAGCCGTATTTCACACGAAGAACGTAAATCGGGGTCGAGAAGATGAGAGAAAATGGAGGACAACGATGTTTTCCATACGTACCACTTTTTTTGCAAAGGTTGCACACCGGCAGCTAAAAGATTTCGGTATTGATCGGAACGAATAAATCTAGGATAGCAATCTTTTTTCAGAAGTAACGTATATACATGTTCAGCGGCGGAATCAAATGTGAATCGATTTGGATTTCTCATTTCTTGATGAACCTTTTCCATCGTCTTCCCGTCTATGTTTATTTCGCAAGGTGCTCCAGGTGCCAGGAATTCTCTGCAGCGACATTCGATCGTTCGGTTATTTTCTTACATACACACCGTGTACGATCCGTGTTATGGTTTACGAATTACGATCATGAAAAGAGATTTTCGCGGTACGTACTTGAAGATCTCGTTGACTTTGTCGGGTATTTGTGCTTGAAAACTATGCCTCAAATCTTTAACCGCTAACCAAAATCGTATATTTTCGTGGCTGTATTCTTTCCTCAAATAATTCGTGAACTCTTGCAAACCTGCAAACCAAACGAACGAGATCAAAAGACAAATTTCGAACGTTGATAGGATACTTGGCGTTGTAACGTGTAAATACCTAAACACGTGTTTCTCGATTCTACAAATAAAGCTCGAAAATTATGGTTCGACGATTTTAGCGATGAAACAATATTTACACCTTTTCACATCGCTTTCGTGTATAAAATATTATAATAAAAGTATAATAATAATAATAGTAGTAATAAGAATGACAGTGATAATAATAATAATAACGATGTTAATAACAAAAGAAGGTATATGAGAAAATATACGTATATAAGAGAAATTTCGTTTGAAATTTTTTAGCTTTTGAGTATCAATATTAATTATTTTTATTACTCAATTATTTAATTATTTCTTATTAATGTTAATTATTTTCATTTGACAAACAAAAGATGTTCGCTACTCGGATGGGACATTAGCTCTTCCATTATAATAACAATAATAATGATAATAATAAAAGAAGGTACACGAGAGAATATATGCATTTAAGAGGATTTCTTTTGAAATTTATTAGCTTTCGACTATTTGTATTAAGTATTTTTGTTATTACAGACGAACGAAAAATATGTACCAGTAAGATTGGATATTAACTCTTCCAGTATAATAACAATGATAATGATAATAATAATAAAAGAAGAAATATACGAGGAAATATACATATATGAGAAATCACTTTTGAAATTTTTTAGCTTTTTACTATTAATATTAATTATTTTTATTACTGTAGACGAATGAAAGATATTCACCACTAGGATCGGACATTAACTCTTCCATTATAATAACAATAATAATGATAACAACAAAAAAAAGTAAAGGAGAAAATATATATACATAAGAGGATTTCTTTTAAAATTTTTTAGCTCTCAAATATTAATATTAATTATTTTTCTTATCGTACATGAACAAAATATATGCACTAGTAGGATCGGACATTAACTCTTCTATTATGATAACAATAATAATGCTAATAATAGAAGAAAGTACGCGAAAAAATATATATACCTAAAAGGATTTTTTTTGAAATTTCTTAGCTTTCAAATATTAATATTAATTATTTTTGTTATTGTACATGAACAAAAGACATGCACTAGTAAAATCGGATATTAACTTTTCAAGTATAATAATAATGATAATGATAATAATAATAACACTGATGATAATAATAAAAGAAGGTATACGAGGAAATATACATGTATAAGAGAAATTTCTTATGAAATTTTTTAGCATTTGACTATTAATATTAATTATTTTTAATACTGTAGACAAACGATAGATATTCAACAATAGAATCGGACATTAACTCTTCCATTATAATAACAATAATAATTATAATAATAAAAGAAAGTATATGAGAAAATATACATATATAAGTGAAATTTCTTTTGAAATTTCTCAGCTTTTGATTATTAATATTAATCATTTTTATTATTGCAGACCAATGAAAGATATTTACCATTAGAATCAGACATTAACTAACAATAATAATGATAATAATAATAAAAGAAGGTACACGATAAAACATATGTATATAAGAGGATTTCTTTTGAAATTTCTCAGCTTTTGATTATTAATATTAATCATTTCTATTACAGCAGACCAATGAAAAATATTCACCACTAGGATCAGACATTAACTAACAATAATGACAATAATAATAATAATGATGATGATGATAATAAAAGTAGGTATATGAGAAAATATATATATATATAAGAGAAATTTCTTTCGAAATTTCTCAGTTTTCGAGTATTAATATTAATTATTTTTATTGCTGTAGACAAACGAAAGATATTCACCAGTAGGATCGGACATTAACTCTTCCATTGATAACGCCCAGCGCTTAACGCGTTTTTCCGTAGGAACTTCCACCCTGCACAGAGTAAATGGAAGAAATTAAAGGAATTCAAATTGCCCTACTACGACGAGCATCCTTGCCGCGGTGGTTGCATACTTTACCGTGGAGCATACATATTTGCACGAGAAATTTTAATTATGTTTGGAATACTAACAGTGGACTGTTTAGCTGCCAAAATGTTTGATCATCGGTAATCCATGGGTTAGAAGGCTGAGGCTGTACAAACATCGGATCGTATTCCACGTACGTTTCGAAGTATGATTTCAAATTTTCGATCGCAGCCGAAACCTTTATCCTTGTACGCGTTAAGCTGTTCTTCAAAAGGGCCACCTGGTGTTCGGAAAAATACATAAATCTCAATAAGTATTCTACTCATACCACATCTGCCATAATACATTACGCATGATCTATTAACATTTAACTCTTTGCAATCCGAGAATATTTTTATTTCACCGACAAACACGCTTTTACAATGGGAAGCTTTTCAAAAATTTTGTTTCGAAATAAGAGAAATTAAAAATGTACGGAAATTTATTTAAACTTATTCTAAATTTAATTTAAATTTATTTTAAATTGTAAATTATCAATATCTCCGCAGTGGCGCCACTGGAGTGTACAAAATCAAAATTACTATCTTTTCAAAAATTTTGTTTCGAAATAAGAGAAATTAAAAATGTACGGAAATTTATTTAAACTGATTCTAAATTTAATTTAAATTTATTTTAAATTGTAAATTATCAATATCTCCGCAGTGGCGCCACTGGTGTGTACAAAATCAAAATTACTATCTTTCCTTTTCTTTTTTTTTACTATTTCGTGTGTACATGTATACATAATTGAATATATAAACAAATATGCGCGCGTACAATTGAAATATAAAATATTTTTAATGGAATTCAAGAGTTGCGCATGGAATAACGTCGAAAGATCAGCGTACAGTTAATATCAGCATGAATTAGAAAACAGAAGAAAGATGGTCGGAAAGAAATGTCGACACAGCGACATCTGGCTACGGCTATCCGAAGCAAGTTAATAGGATTAGAGAAAAGCGTTTACCTCGCGTTGCAGATCTGTTAAAGTGCGTTTACGCGACGGAGGACGTGAAAAATGTCCAGGACGAAAACGTGTAGGTACGGGTGCTACCTCGAGACTTCTTAGACAACCGGGTGGCGGCCTGTAAACTCTCCAAAATGCTCGTTCTTGAGAATCGCTTACTATTTTATCTCCCTTCTTTCGCTCCTTCGCTAAGCGTACCTGAACCCACAAAATGAACAACATTTCAAGGAGTCACATGCTCGAATATAGCGAATTTCAACTACGTGTAGGAAAAATGTATTCGATGGCATATTCAG